AACAGCACTATGTTAATCGGTAAGTAAAGAGGAGGAACGGAGGGAAAATGGTTCATATTAACTACTCTGTCTGCTTCATGCTGCGTTTGCTGTCCACAGAGCAACCTTTCTACCTTAAAGAAGTCTACCTGTCAACAGAGTGTGCCGACTGTCTGGTTGCCAAAGAGGATATCGTTGCTGGAACAGATAAATTCATCAGTCTTCTTATGTTTAGTGAGAATAATAATTTATAGAAGATTTTTACAGTTTTTCAAAAGAGATTTAAGAATGCTGCTTTTCTGTTCCCTGCTTTGACACTGAACATTTTTTTAAATGACACATCTTGCACAGGCTATACAGGTAGAACTACTTGGTCTATAATAACAGATAAAATAAAAATGAACTCCTTTATTTGTAGGTAAGAGCAGGAGTGTTTCCCCAGCTGCAGTGGAACTGTTGAAAAAGCAAGCAGAATGCCTTCAGATGCCGACACCTATAATATTAAACCCAGAAAATGGTAAGAATATGGCCACTTTCTTCTAGCATGTGTTTACTGCCGGTTGTTTATCACTGACTTTTTTTTATGAAACTAGAACTCTGCCCCGAGAACATGACACCCATTGAGGGGCTCAGCGCCCTCAACGCAGTTCTGGAGGCCAAGATGGGACAACGGGTGGCCAGATTTCTGGATGCTGTATTTGACATGTTTGTAAACTGAGAGAGTTTTTGCAAAAAGCTAATTGCTGGTCAACTGTATGGAAATAATTTTTAGTTTCATATATATTTCATTTGTTAAAGATTTGTTAATATGGACTTATGACTGAAATTAAACTGGAGCTTTGATGTCATGATGTACTTTAAGGTATACTGGAGGATTTTCACAATTTTTTTTAAAAGACCTGCCCTTTCCACTTAAAAATAAAATAAAAAAAATGCACATGCACAACTCTGTATCTGCTCCCGAGAGGGAACGCCTGTTAAACGCGTGCGATAGCGTGCACAAGCCCATTTTTCTTCGTGCACGCTCTTTTTAAATGTTGCAGTTTGCATTGCTCATACAAGCTTACCTTCCAAAAGAAGATTTCAAATTTTCCACTATGTCAGACTCACCACCGCTAAGGAAAACATTTTGGGGACGAGCGCGTAGGACGGTGCGACATAAACATATCAACAGAATGATTGACAATTAGGAGGACCACTTATTTTGATGATCCACCCGGAAAAAGAACATCCTCCACTATACGTTTAATGAATGCAGTTTGCTTGTGTTTCATTTATTGAACAGTACATCAACAAACATCACCTGTTTTTGTTCTGTTTTTCTAGGTTAGGTATGTAGATGCGGATGAATATTATCAAAATAAAGTCAATGTTACATCTCACACTGTTAAGTCTTGGTGTTTGCGTGGTTTATTTATGTTTTGCAGCGTTAATCCTCTTGAATCCTGTTAGGTTTCTGTTTCTGTTATATTTTTCTTTTGGATTGTCAATTTTGCTTTGCTCTTTGTTTTATAGTTTTTTATGGTTTAATTCTTACTTTATTGTGTTCTTTGTTTTTTTTTCTTAGTTACTGTCTTAGTCTTGGTTCTGTTATGTTTTCTTTTGAGTGTTTAGTTTTACTTTGCTCCATGTTTTTATAGTTTTAGTTGTTTAATTCTTATTTTGTTGTGTTTTCTAGCTATTTTCAGTCTTCCAGGTTTTTTTTTTTTGCTGCCCTCTTGTGTTCTCCTTTTTCCCGAGCTCCTCTTCTGATCTGCTCTCTGCTCACCTGTTCCCAATCTGCTCATTAGCCCTCTCTTTGTTTCTGTCTTCTATAAATGCTCTCTCTTCAGTTCCTCTTTGCTGGGTCCTCGTCTAACTTCCTCCAACTCGTCTTTCTGAGTCTTCCTCCTTGTTAAAGTGATTCCCCTGATGTCTCAATGGTTTTTGGTACGTTCTGACTTGTGTTTTCACGTTTTTGATCTTTGGATTTTTGGACTCATGGTTTCATGTTTGTTTTGACTTTGTTTTCATTTTGGATTTTTCGATAACCTGCCTCAGTTTTCAGTTTACTTTCATTAAATCACCAAGAAATCTCAACTCTTCCTTCCTGCCTCTGATTTCGGGTCAACAAACCATAACCAAATCCTCACAAATCCAAAGCTGATATGTTTGTTGATTTGTTCAGTGGAGAACTCTGACTCAGTGACCAAAGTCCGCTGAACAACTTCACAAAATTGGGGAGAAATTAGTCAAATTAACTATTAGTAGATGCACTTTACTGTACTGTTTCTTTAGTGATAGTCAACCAGCAGGTAGGAATCTTCTGGTGGTGCAGGACTTAACAATTGTGTGTGAAGGAGGTAGGATAGTAAAGCAAATTGAAGATCTAGCAAAAAGCTGAGAAGTATCTGGTTGCAATCAGTTGATGCAAGGCAAAGGTGAAAGAGGCAGCAGTTCCAAAAAAGTTTATACGACAGGCGAAAACCATGAAAAAACTCCCCCAAAAAAACTGCTTAAACAGCAGTTAAGCATTCAATCGTCTCCAGTTTAAATTTCATATATTGTACATCATATACAGGTGCTGGTCATAAAATTAGAATATCATGAAAAAGTAGATTGATTTCAGTAATTCCATTTAAAAAGTGAAACTTGTATATTATATTCATACATTACATACAAACTCATATATTTCAGATGTTTATTTTGTTTAATTTTGATGATTACAAATGACAACAAATGAAAATCCCAAATTCATCATATCAGAAAATTAGAATATTACTGAAGACCAATAAAAACAAAGGATTTATAGAAATGTTGGCCAACTGAAAAGTATGAACATGAAAAGTATGAGCATGTACAGCACTCAGTATTTAGTTGGGCCTCCTTTGGCCTGTATTACTGCAGCAATGCGGCGTGGCATGGAGTCGATCAGTCTGTGGCACTGCTCAGGTGTTATGATAGCCCAGGTTGCTCTAATAGTGGCTTTTAGCTCTTCTGAATTGTTGGGTCTGGTGTATTGCATCTTCTTCTTCACAATACCCCATAGATTTTCTATGGGGTTAAGGTCAGGAGAGTTTGCTGGCCAATTAAGAACAGGGATACCATGGTCCTTCAACCAGGTACTGGTAGCTTTGGCACTGTGTGCAGGTGCCAAGTCCTGTTGGAAAATGAAATCTGCATCTCCAAAAAGTTGGTCAGCTGCAGGAAGCATGAAGTGCTCTAAAACTTCCTGGTATGTGGCTGCGTTGACCCTGGACCTCAGAAAACACAATGGACCAACACCAGCAGATGACATGGCACCCCAAACCATCACTGACTGTGGAAACTTTACACTGGACTTCAAGCAACGTGGATGAAGTGCCTCTCTTCTTTTCCTCCAGACTCTGGGACCTTGATTTCCAAAGGAAATGCAAAATTTACTTTCATCAGAGAACATGACTTTGGACCACTCACCAGCAGTCCAGTCCTGTTTCTCTTTAGCCCAGGCAAGACGCTTCTGATGCTGTCTGTGGTTCAAGAGTGGCTTGACACAAGGAATGCGACAGCAGAAACCCATGTCTTTCATACGTCTGTGTGTGGTGGTTCTTGAAGCACTCACTCCAGCTGCAGTCCACTCTTTGTGAATCTCCCCCACATTTTTGAATGGGTTTTGTTTCACAATCCTCTCCAGGGTGCGGTTATCTCTCTTGCTTGTACACTTTTTTCGACCACATCTTTTCCTTCCCTTCGCCTCTCTATTAATGTGCTTGGACACTGAGCTCTGTGAACAGCCAGCCTCTTTAGCGATGACCTTTTGTGTCTTGCCCTCCTTGTGCAAGGTGTCGATGGTCGTCTTTTGGACAACTGTCAAGTCAGCAGTCTTCCCCATGATTGTGTAGCCTATAGAACTAGACTGAAAGACCATTTAAAGGCTTTTGCAGGTGGTTTGAGTTAATTAGCTGATTAGAGTGTGGCACCAGGGGCCATCAATTTTGAACCTTTTCACAATATTCTAATTTTCTGATATGATGAATTTGAGATTTTCATTTGTTGTCATTTGTAATCATCAAAATTAAACAAAATAAACATCTGAAATATATAAGTTTGTATGTAATGTATGAATATAATATACAAGTTTCACTTTTTAAATGGAATTACTGAAATCAATCTACTTTTTCATGATATTCTAATTTTATGACCAGCACCTGTAAGGTGTTTGGAAGTTATTCTTCATAGTGCTCACATTCATTTCATACAATAAGGGATAATGAATTTCACAACAAACAGATGAACTATATATGTAGCAAAAAAAAGTAAATTATATGTCAACCTATGTTTTCCATACATGTTTTTCATATCTTTTTTATTTTATTTACTATGTGCAACCTTTATAATACTATTAATGGTTTATCTATATGAACAAATACCAACATTCATAAATTATCTTATTGTAAAGTAAACATATGACAATATATGATGTCTTTATGTTTTATGTACCTATTTTTTTTTTTTTAAATAGCATCTTATAAAAGAGGGGTGGGGGGGCTGGATTTTAGTGTCGGATGCATTACATATAAAGTTCAACCAAAATAAATAAAAACTATAGAATTAACATATACCTTTTTCATCTGGGGAAATTTCTTAAATCTGAATAGCAGATTGATTTTGCATGTTGCAAGAAAAGCTACTTAATCTCAAAAAAAAAGATAGCCTTATTTCCTATCTAATTTATGTTTTTCTATAATTGTTTCTTCATAAAATAATGTTTTCCCCTTTTATACAGTCCTGTTGACTCAGGTTATTTCTCTGCCTATTCATTTTCTAAGTATTTATCACTCTGGGGGAACCTGTCTCTGATTATAAAGGCATTAAGCAGGTGACACATTATTGTTATGAAGCCAAGTACTTGTGGCTTAACATGTTGTGCAAAAAGTCAGTCAGAATAGGGCGTATAATTTGTTTCTCTGAGGTTTATGCAAATACCCCTCAGGTGTTTTCTCAGGGAGTGGCCAAAAGCTGAATAATTGCATTTCTATAGATAGCAAAACTGTTGTTCAAAAGACATCAGCAGCAACTCGACATTCACAGATCAACTCCTCAAACATGGCCCGCTTACTTGCTCTGCCTCGTGAGTAAATCGACGACTTCACACTTATTTAAAATGATAATATCTTCAAAAGTTTTCCCTCAGCACTCAAAGAAAAAAACAGTAGTTCATTTTTAATAACTTTATATTATTCTTCAGATACAGAAAGGTTTCTCAACAACAGGTAGGCCCTCTAATGATAAAACTTAAATTTCTGCAGACTAGTATATTTCCCTGTATTAGTTAAATAAAAGTAAATATATATTTCATACTGTACCATTTAATATACATTCAAAGGATCATTAAACTGAAACATTACTGAATACTTAAGTAATGATTGTTAAACTGAAAACCACATGTAAATTATGGCAAAGTAGGTCTGTTTAACTATTATGCGAGTGAATTGCATTCATAAACATGAGTATCTTTTGGAAAGCTTATTAAATGCTTTTTGATCTAAATATATTCTATTATTTGTAGTAGAGTGGGGAAATATACCCCAAATAACCTTTACTGATTCTAGGAAGGCAGTATATATCAAGCACATTATCAGGCTACAATTAACAACCTATCATGCCTGGAAGTCATCAGGCTGGAGTAATTTTGTTGATGCATATACATTGTTTTGGCTAAATAAAATTGCAACTAAACTGTGTTCAAAACTTGCACTAAGTTAGACAAAATAGGTATGAATTAACTGAAAGTCAAAAATGCTTATTAAAAATAATATTTTATTATAAACATATTCTAACATCTCAGAAATAGGTAAAATAAGTTATGCTTTAACTAACATGTTGTTGGTCACTTTGAGTTTATGTTATGGTTCTCCCTTTATTGACTTCTTTTTGAGTTTCTGTTCAGGTTTTCAGTTATTTATGTAATTCTGTTTTGTTGGTCATTGGTTTCTTTTGACATTTTGTTTTATATTTAAGCTGTGTTGCATTTTTTTTTAGCTACTCTCTGTTGCCCCCTTGTGCCGGTCTCCTTTCCTCTAGCTCCCTTCTAGTTCCTTCTATCCATGCCTGCTCCCAATCAACTGATTAGCCAAGTCTTTGTTCTGTTCCCCCATATATATACACCTCCTGTGAAATTCCTCATTGCCGGTTTTTTTGTTGTTACTTGGCTCCTCAGGTGTTTGTTTTCCCCTGATGTCTCATGGTTTCTTGGTTTCCTGTATTTTGTTCTTGGGTTTTGTTTCTGTTATGCTTTTTTTTATTGAATCAGTTAAACTCATCTCTGCATTTTGGTCCTCAACCAACCTCCACCCCAACCTTGACAGTTTATGTTTATGCAAGTCCTAAATAAAATAAAATAAAATGAAGTTAGTTGGACTTCTCTGGTTCTTGAAGAATTTTCTCTTAATTCAAAACAAACTGGTTAGTTCTGACTGTAAGCTGAGAGTTCCAGGCTCATAAGTCATTGTTAGAATATTAGAGCATCAAAGTCACATCACATTAGTCAGTGAGTCCTCGCACTGCATCATTTGGCCAGTTGTTACTGAGGAATGCTTCCTAGCAAGTTCTCTGGAATTTGTATTTAAAGGTTGACATTTTTGAGAAACCCTGCTAGCCATCACTGAAACGCAGGCAATGCTGTTAATGCAAGTAAAAATAGACGCATAAATCACAGACAATATTAACAGTTTACAAAGTATAGATCCAACATCCAGGGACGCTTTGTATTGTCAAATTTATAAAATATTTGAATTCCTTCAGAGATAAAATTGTTTTTAATTGCAATTTCTATGGTGCAACAGTATATATAGGTGGAGGGGGCGGAGAATTTAAAAAGCTTTTTGTGGGACCTGCATCAGTAAGATGACCTGAGAACAAAGACTATTGGTTAAAGTTTCCTCACAAGAGTGAACATTAATATGGAGTTAGAAGTCTAAGACCGGTTTTGCAGCTAAAAGTCATACAGTGGGAGAACCTATCTACATACAGTAATTGAGATGTGCAACCGCATATAAGGAACGATGATACACTGGTACAAATGGTACAATTCACAGTAACAAACAGTTTCTAATTTCCTTGAAAGAGGTGGAGCATGTCTGAAAAGCAGGTCTCTATAGTCCAAAAAAGGGGGGAAAAATAGAGGTGATCAAATGTTTTCTAACTGGCAAAGAAAAACAAATTATTTATTTCTAAGAAAAAAGAAAGAAACCCACTTTAAGTTGAAAATTTGAAATTAATTTATGAATGTGAAATTTAAAACACATCTTGTAAATTAAAACTGCAAGAAGTTAATATTTTACTGTTTAAATTTATCGTACACTGTGGAGTTGAGATGGAAGCTGTTTGCCATTAGATAAAAGCATGGACTTTAATTTATCTCCATTAAAAATGAACCTCAACCGAACTGACAGGGACTGAACAATGTCAAAAGCTGTCTGTAACAGAAAGGACCTGCAGTATACCATCCTATATCCTAGGATACTTTTAGCATATTGAACAGAGAAGTCTCTAACAAACAATGGAGTCTGATATTCCCTTGTTTTATTTGTAAAATTATGAATTTCAGAAGCTATTGAGTATGTAGAAGGAAACCAACAAAGAATCTATATAAGAATTATGATCTCATATTCTAATTTCCATCAATGAGTTGGATAAAATTAACCCTTTAGAGTGTCTTGGTCCCCCATTGAGAATAACCAAGTACATTTTTATACAGCCTCACTTCATCCTGTCCACTTTTCTGTACCTGCCACCAGTGAACGTCACCAAATGTGTGAAACTATTAGAGCTCACGTATAGAAGATCTTAAAGAATGGTGGCATTTAATAAATGTGTTTGTTTATTTTCAAACAGCACCGGATGAGTCCACCCTCAGGATTGTCTCTGTTGGGAAAACTGGAAGTGGGAAGAGTGCAGCAGGAAATACTATTTTAGGAATGAAAGCCTTTGAATCCTACATGTCTCCATCTACAATAACATTAACGTGTCAGAGAAAAACCGGGATGTTTAAGGGTCAGCAACTTGAATTTATTGATACTCCAGGTCTGTTCAATGCTGCTAAATCTGAAGATGAAACGGAGAGAGAGATCCAGAGATGCATCTGGCTGTCTGCACCGGGTCCTCATGTGTTCTTGGTGGTCATGGCGCTGAACAGATTCACACCTGAAGAACAAAAAACACTGCAGATCATCAAGAAGATATTTGGAGAACAAGCAGCATGTTACACCATAGTGTTGTTCACGCATGGAGATGATCTGGAAGCTGATGGAACTTCAGCAGAAAATTTTATAGATCGAAATCCCTCTCTCTGTGCTTTTATCAGTCAGTGTGGTGGAGGATATCATGTCTTTAATAATAGAAACAATGATTCATCTCAGGTCACAGAGCTGCTGGAGAAGATCAACAAGATGGTTCGAAGGAATGGAGGAAAATACTTCACCAATAAGATGTTTGGTAAAGCCCAGCAAGTCATGGAAGAAGAGGCAGCACGACTTATGATTGCAAATCCAGGCCTGAATGCCAAAGAATTTCGACAAATAATAGACGAATACTCCTGGCCTACTTTAATGGCGTTTAACATTTGGACGAGTGTAAAAGGATGTAGTATTCAGTAATGTTCTAAAAAATGCTTAATGGGGTCATAGAATGATTCTATAGGGTATTTGGTCCATAAGGTCTCTGAATAGGGTGTGTAACATTGGTTGGGCTGAAAATGACATATTTGCTGTTCTATGAGCCCTAATGCAAGCCCTAGAATGTAACTACAGGTTTTCTTCCTTTTATGGTATGCTCATGAATATTTAGATAAGCTGTGCGCTGATTGGTTGGTTTACAACGGGTGAAGCTGCTGAGAAAAGACGCATTATAGCAACAAGCACTCACTCACTGAAACGTCAAAGTGTTGATATGGTAGGGTGACCAGACATCCTCTTTTTCCTGGACATGTCCTACTTTTCATAGCTAAAAAAATGTCAAGGGGCGAATTTCAAAATTGTCGTGGATTTTGGTCGACTACGGTGCAGCACATAGTCGAAACACACCGGGCCCTTGAACAGAGCCATCAGCTCCGGGGACGGGGGCAGGGAGCCAGAGAGGGACGGAGTGACCGAACCTGACCCGGTGATGGTAGCCTGGACACTGGCGGCCCTGTGCTTCCCCCCGCCTGCCTTACCGGCTCCCAGCCCCCCTCCTCCGGCTGAGGACGGGCCATTCATGGCTCTGTGGTGAGGTCCGGTTCAGCCAGTGGCCCCCCCTCCCCAAAACAAGTGTCGTCCTTTTTAGAAAATCAAATCTGGTCACCATAGATATGATAGCATTGCTACCAACAGCTTAAGGCGTTACGGTTGGAACAGCCCCTCGTTTCAGTAAAAGAAGTTTAGCAAATCCTGCTTTGAACTGTCCAAGATGTTGAAAGCTGTCTTTGGTAAAATGCTTAGAGCAAATGAACAGCTGAGCATCAAATTTTGCAGGGATCTTCTGATAGACAAAAATAATCCATGCCTGTCCATCTTCGGATCCTTGGGAAGACTGTGAAAAATGTCCCGTTTCCTCTGTGCAGCCGGGAACGCTGCATTTACGCCTGTGGTTCAATAGAGAAACTGCCTGCTTTGTAATTCTTGTAGAAGTAAACCCAACTGTAGGGTTGCATTAAAAAGTACAGGCCAGAACCAAATAAGGCAACATCCCCGAATTGACGTCAACTCGATGTTTTATGGTTTTATAAACGAATATAAACGAATTTGCCCGTTTTATGGTGGAAGTTTAGAATTGTGAGATTTTGCTGAGAAAGGTGAACTATGAACTTCTGTGTACGTCCATTTCACCCTCTGAACTATCGTTCATCATCTATGACAATTGAAACTCTGTTTTGCATTCTATGACCCCTTTAACAAAGATGTACACACAGGAATATTAGCACAGCAACCTGTTAACTTAATTGTTTTACCTTTAAAAAACAATCATAAATAAATCATTGTTGTATTCAACCACATACTTTGAGTTTTTAAAATGATTATTTCAAAATGTTCATGATATAGTTTCAAATACATTATCACAACCTGTGCATATATTAACTATGAACTCTTAAATTAATCTTAATGATCCAGAAATGAAAAGATTTGATCTGTGTACTGATTTTTTTTATTACAGGAGTCCTAAGGGGGAAAAAAAAATCTTAAAGTAGATCAATGTTGAGAGAGTTTATTTTTTTATGTTGTTGTAAATCTTGTTCCACCAGCTGCCCCAGAAGCTGTTAGTGAACCAGCTGTTCTGGGACCCCATCTGTAATAAACCAATTTACAACATAGAAATAGCATTGATGTGTCGGTCGATCAAAGCTCGTCTCCATCAGTCGATGCTGTCCTGAACTCTTGATACACTTTCCTGGTAGGTGGTGTGGATTTTACCTGTGATGTTGATGTTTGCAGCCAGAATTTCAGAACTACCTTTTATGTATTTTTTTTTTTTTTTTTACAAAATTTAGCTGTCAGCTCCCCTCTTGCAGGAGATTGTATTTACCCTTTATAGGGCACTCGGTTAAATACTTTGAAAATCAAAATTTCAAAAATCAAAACTGGCCCAAATATATTAAGAAAAATAACAAAAGTGCTTCTATAAGAAATTCATGAAAAAGAAACAAATTTTTTTGGTACAACATACTGTAACCTTAGTCATTAATGCTGATAATGGCACTTACATTTTTTAGTTTATAAATCTAAATTGTTACCTAGGCTTATTAACTTTTCATTTAGCTTTTTACCTTTTTTATCTTGACTTGCTAACTTTCTTTGTTCAACTTAATTTACAGTAGATAATATATCATTCAAGGGCTCATTTAATTGGTCAAATGCCAAAGTAAGATGTACAGCCATGTAGCTGTATCTTTGCTGAATGGCTGGATATAGATCTTGTGCTTCTAGACCTCACTAAGGGACGGGGGGGGGGGACTCCATTTGTAAGGGGTATGCAAGTGCAAGTGATCAAAAACGGTATCTTACCCTATAAAGGGTTAAAGCAACAGCATCAAAGTCTTTATGGTCTGAGAAATGCATACGTAAAGCCTCATCAACTTTCTAGTGACAATATTTCAAGGATCATATTAAACTTAAATATTCGCCACATATAATTAGATTTATCATCTTCTAGAAAATTCTTCGTTAGATTGTCCATGAACTTTTTACCATCTGTGACAATAAAGCAGTGGTGGGAGACATTTATTTCTTAAGAGCCACGTTTAAAAATATAACAAACTAAATATTACATCTGTACTACAATGAAGCAGCACAATGAATAGATTTATTGAATAAATGTTGAAGCACAATTCTGGAGGGCTTTTTTCCGTCAGGTCTAACTCCAGTTTAAACTTTTTTAATAAGCTCTATGGTCTAAAAGCCTCTCCAATGTGCATCATAAAAAAAAAATATTAGTTAGATGTTTCATGAAATTATTGTATTTTTACTTGATTTCAGCAGAAATGGAAGAAAATTTGCCAATGGAATAAGATGATTTACACTTGAAATAGTAAGAAAAACATCCCTTTCTTTTTTCAATAGCATAACATCAAACCATCTTACTTAAGGGGCAAAATACTTATTGCATTGGCAGATTATCTTGTCTACCTGCTTAACTTAGGGAGAAATACACATTTTCAGGATTATTTTATTTTTATCAGTTGTTTTTCTGTATTAAAAACCACAGCTTCAGTTTGTTTTGCTAACTGCTACTGTTTTCCACAGGGCAGCAGAAAATTGTGAAAAATTTGATGTAAAGTGACATCAGACGCCCTTTTGGTTGTTAACGCTGGATTTACATTCCAAAAAAAAAAAAAAAAAAAAAAAAATGAATTAGATAAGAGTAAGTTTAGGGATCACATACTGCATGAACTTGGCATAAACAACCTCACCTGTTCATTTAAAAATCAGATGTTGGCCATTTTTGCCTGCAGTGTTAATGGGGCCTAAAAGCTGCAGACCAGACCCGATGGGTAGGAAGCCTGTTCTAGTTTTACATTTCTCTCAGCATGCCAAAGCGTAACATTTATTGAAATGATGCACTACAGCATGAGTCGGTTTGACTTAAAAATAATTAATTTTGGTCTGATATAATAAAGCACTTCGCAGATCTATAAGGTAACAGCTGCATAAGAGAAAAATTGCTGAGGATTTAAAGAGGAATTCCGCACCGTCCAACTTGCAAGAGAAAAAAGCAAATGGTCTGAAACATTGCAAATAAATATCTTCTCTTTCAAGTTGGACAATGTGCAGCAGGAGTCCTCTTTAACTTTTAGTCTGATAAAAATAGCTTCACTGTTACATGATGCTGGTATACAAATAAAGTGAATTATAATCCAAATGAAATAAATGTCTCATTTTCATTCAAGTTAAATAAATTCTCCTGGCATTTCAGTGCTCTAAAATGATTAATTCAATTTTCTGTTTTCTGACAGCAACACGCCAAACTTGTTAGAGCATGATGAGTAAGTACGGTGTATAAAATATAAACTTTCATTATGGCCAGAAACGGAAAATGAGGAAAAAACATATTCCTCTTGCGGCAATCTTCACAAACCTGGTAGGAAAAAATGTTATGTATCAAACAGGAGGAGGAAGAAAGATTTCCATGGTCTTTTTATTGGTAGTTTTACATCTGTACATATATCTACATGTGGATATAGCTTTTTCCCACTCAAATATTCACAGATTACACTCATACAAAATTTATGCATTTTTGTGTAAAACTCAACCACACAATCAGCTAAACCAGAATGCATCTGGCGTACACTGTGCACATACCAAAACGAAAAGAAACACCTGATGCCTTTAATTTTGAAAAGCAGAGGACAATAGAAAAAGTAGAAAAGTGAGAGAAGAACCAAAACACCAATCAGTAACGATTAGCAGGAAATCGTTTTTCTTTATAAGATAAAGTAGTACTTTTATTCTGTGTAGGTGGGTGAAGCATGTTCAAACTGAAAAGACCAGAGACATCAGGAACTCAATACTGACTTTTTTTTTAATCCAAATGCATAATTTTTACAGTTATTCAAGTAATGTGTGGTCTTTGTACTACGATACAGTACATGACACCCTGTCGAGGCTGTGGAAAATAAATGACAACAGGAATATTTCTAATGCTACATTATGTTATCTATGTCCCCTGAGTGCCACCCATAGAGTCACCACAGCTATAACGGTGGCTTTGTTTAGATTCCACAGAAATGTGTTTCTCAGTCAATGTGTGTTGATGGTAAGACACCGTTTTACAGACACGCGTGGAGAAACCTAAACATAGAGGGCTCTTACAACCAGTCTTTGTTGATCCAAACTTGTTTCTTTAGCAAAAGTTGGAAATATGTCAAACTAAACAGTGCTTAGAGTTGTCTGGAAATTAATGGGGGGAAAAATAAGTTAAGGTGCCATGAATGAGCCTGTTAGTCTCTACAGTGGGTAACATAAGGTCTGCTTTCTCTATAAACATATACCAACTTTTTATTTTATTTTATTTTTTTTACCGCTACAATTTACAGGTAAAATGTTGCTAGAATTTAGCCTCAGTCTGATCAGATGGAGAAAGGAGTCAGTGCCTCTTTTTCCACTGTTTGCTGCACACTGCTGGTGAGCTACCTGAAGAAGGCCAAAACACATTTTTCCTGTTAAACAAAAAAAAGGAGGGAAAAATGCTAAATTCTTTTTTTTTTTTCCTTTTCAGGAACCACCTAAATGGCTAATTCAGCAGACAGCCCAACTAATTAAGCAACTGTCATCTTATCATGCTGCAGCAGGTTAGAATATTCTGCACACTACAGGGTAATGTATTCAAAAATGACTGTCAACTGTATAATCCAATGTTATTTTAGCGGCGGTTTTTCAATAAAAGCAACTTCATAGCAGACATGGTTTTAAATCCTTTTGTGGATACAGGGAATCTGTGGTGATGGTGTATTCAAATGAGAAAAACAGGAGTGACACCTTAAAATGGCTTAAATTCACACCACAAAAAGAATTGGATCCAATGGTAAACAAAGCACATTGAAGCTATGAGGGGTGACATCTGTGGGGTTTTCACCTTAGGAAGTCATGCTAGTAAAAAAACAACCAAACCCATTGCTGCAGCTCTTAATTCTTG